CAACCCTGAGCCGGTGAGATTTGAACAGCTGAACTGCAGTCAGCTGAAGTAGCCTGCAGTGCTGCACTCTAACCACTGTGCCACCTCGGCTCTCTTTTTTTTTATTTTTATAGTTATAATGTACACTTTAGATGGCATTTAATTTCATTGTATGATGTGCAATGGCAATAAAGTAAACTAAACTCAACATCCAGCCTGCGAGTTTGATCTAATCGAAGGTATCCTGGTTGGGAGGAAAGTGGAGCCCAGTGCAAGATTATCAGGCCGGGAAGATACTTTACATTAATAAGCAAAACATTAGGGGAAATACCTGGAAAATTATAAGCCTGTCACTAGCTTCTTGCGGTTCAAGTCCATCTACCATGGGACCATTCTGGAAGAGGAACAGATTGAAATGTTAATAAAAAATCCACTTAAAAATCTTTCAAGAGTATACACTACCTTTTGTTTTAGAGTGTCCATTCTCCCATCAACAAAATGATTACCTCATTAAGTTTATGGTAATAAAAGTGTTAACTTTCTTTTGCACATTCAATTCCCAGCTTCAAAGCTTCCATCAGAACAAGTAATCAAATCGTAATGAAAACATGTTTTAAGCAGAAGGATAATATAGTTTATGATCTGTGGAACAACTATGACTTTGCATAGAATGAAATATTCAATGTTTCTGCAGCCTCAAATCAAACTTTTCATACTGGGAAATTTCTTCACCATGGAGTGTTTCCTACATTTAAAATGAAGTGTGACTCTATTCCATAATCACAGAGTGATACAAATACTGCTCTTTTCAGTTGAGTTATTGTACTTCACATCATCCAAGTGTAGAATCCTGCAGTTGCTTATGTGAAACAAGTTCTACTCTAAAGTAATCCTTTCTAAAATTTTAACGTTTCAGATGTGGGAGAAATTTACTACATATAACACTATAACTCTGGAATTCCTTCTAAATAGGAAAATTTCCAGAGCCTGGCTTGGAGATAAAATATATTTCTCTGCAAATATTTGCTAGACTTGTCAGATGATCTATTCTACTACTAAGGTATATTGTTCCATCTTGAATAATGTGTATAGAGTTAGCTGCTTTCTATAGTTGACCAACTTTTATAGGAAAAGCACCTATAAACCTTACAAGGATAGCTTAAAAAATAAAACTATCACCATGCATTAAAAAAACTGCAATGGAATATAAGCTGACCTCGTGACCCGTCAAAACTGCGCTCGACTAAGCCACGCCCAATTAAACCGCACCGCTGATGTCATCAACAGGGCGACAACAGCCAGCGCGGAGAAAGAAGGGCGTTTTAAATAGCGCTTTAAAAGAAAGCCGATTCAACTTAAGGTAAGGGTTAGGTTTAGGGTTAGCTATAGGGTTAGGGTTAGGTTAGAGTTAGGTTAAGGGTTAGGATTAGGTTTAGGGTTAGGTTA